CAAATACCTCTGCATTTTTTGCAAGACTCAATTTGCATATGCTCTGTGGCTTGCTAAAACACTAGGTTACAGCGAAGAAAATTTTCTTGTTGGAAAATGTAAAGAAGATAGCTGCAAAAGTAGTCGCACGACACAAAAGCCCTCAGGATTTTCAGCGGCAAAACTGAAACCTCGACAATCAGATCGGCAAACAACTCTGGTTACCTGTTCACCTTTATATATAGGGACTGCTAACGTCTTAACTAAGCGTTTAAAACAGACAAAGCGATAAAAGTTGTCTCAAGACAAATTTCTTATAACTTTTTTTCACTGTTAGTGCACAAGTACTAGTGACTGGTCGAAAACAGATTTTGACCGAGCTAAAATCAAGTTGACCGGAGACCTATCGGCTGTTATATTGAGCCCTGTAAATATAAAAAATACACATACAAAATACACATATGAAGCCGAATAAAATACTACCATTGAATGCAATAATACTTGTACTACTTGTGATTGAAAGAACAAAGTGCTGAATATTTGAACCATTAAAATGCAGTCAGATAAATTGGGATTTGGAAACATGTAAATGAGCATGTATTTATTTATTTTTAAATCACGAAGCGTGCCATTTTAGTGGAAGCCATATCGGATGTCAAATGAGAAAGTGAATGCAATATCGTTTTTGTCAAACAAAACCAGCATTGTTCAGGAAGATGCAATAAGATTATTGAATAATTTACAAAATTGTTAGCAGTTAAATAGTATACAACCTTGTGACTTATGACATTCGGAGGATATTTATCTAAATGACATGCCAGTGATCTAGCATCAACAATATAATTTATATTTGTTTAGGCAGGAAATTAGGTGGGAATTTCCGGTTTCGATTGTTTCTGGTTTGGGTTAATTTCGTTCTTTACAGAGACCCTTCAATGTTTACAAAATAGTGAGTTTTGAAGCAAAAATTAATTTTGAAAGTTGTCCCGGGAAAGCCAATTGAGTGCATTGTAAACAATTTCTAGCCCAGCAAGCAGGATAAAATTTCCTTGTATATTAAACGCAAGCAAAATTCATCCTGCGAAGAGGGCCAACCCTGCTTTTCCATATAAAACAGCCCTGTAGAAATGTTTCTTACAATATTTTTAAATTTCCTCCCGGACCTTTTTAATTCTCAAATAGTTCATTACACATTTATTGGTTAGTGTTAGAAAAGGGGTTGGGGTCTGTTTATCCATACCTTATCTTAAATATTCCGACTACAGTACAAATATAGCAAATCAAACTCGGCATCAAACTACGTACTGTTCCAAGTACTTCGTATTAATATACAACTAAATGAACTAATTATTAAAAATTAAACTGACCTTTAAACAGAAGAAATTGATTGGCTTGTATATATTGGTTTCTTTGTCATATAGTTCAATTGCTGTTGCTTGTATTAAAATGTTTTATAAACCAGTACTGCGATGTAGCGAAATTTCGGGCCGTCTTTCACAACAAATAACATCACAATAGCTGCACATCTTTTTCTCTTTAATACAGAATCGTTTTCCCCGTCCATTGAGTTATAATTTCCAAAACTAACCAGTCGCTATAACGTAAAATAAGCGGGTATTTGTGAACAAAAATGCCCTTTGATATAACACGAGGTAACCAGCGCCATCTTGTCTTCTCCAAACATTACAGATTTTCCCGCCAAAACCCGCCCCGAATGTAACTGACGTCACAAGTGTTGTAAACGGGGGGGGGATACCATATTTGGTGGTAATTTTTTTCAAATATACGCACTATTACTAAATCCAATTTTAATCTCTTTAGCTTCGCTACTTTTGCTTTCCACATATTGTTTGACCCAACCACGATTGTAACATAACAATGTTTGCTCGCTAAACATTTTAAAATCAACAAAAATACAGTATTATTAAATCAACCTCATTAATTTATTTCATAATTTATGCTTTATATGGCATGCTCTTCGGCAAGTTCGTTCCCAGGTCTTCGGGCGATAATCTGAAGTTGTCTGAGCCACTGAACTGTATACAGAACTGAATAGAAAGTCATTTTTTACGTTCAAACCTTACTTCGTCAGGGGTTTTTTTCAGGGATTTTTTTAACTCAATCTTGAATTGAGTTTTGAAACTGAATCTTCTCACCAAAGTTTCAGTGCAGTAAAAATGAAGTTGTTCCAGTTATGGCCGCTGAAATTTTCAAAAAAAGCATGCCAACAAAACTAGCTTCATAGCATGTACATAGCATACACTTTATAAAATGCTTAAAAAAATGGAGCTAAAACCACCTGCATTGCATCGAGGGAATTACATTCTCCAAGGGGTGTTTCAAAATTGGGAAATTTGGTATCGGAAGCGGAAAAAGTTGTTGGTATATCAAACTAGTCTGGTTCAATGCCTTTTAATTAAGGCCCATCTACACAATGCGATTTTTGCTTACAATTGTTGTATGCAACTTGCTGACACCATCCCTGCGACGCAAATCGTGCCCTGTAGATAGCCGTACAATTTAAAATCGTGCAACTTTCATACATTTTTTATGAAAAAATAGTTCAAAATGGCGGACATCAACGAGAGAAAGCGAAATTGGTACGCTTCCTGTTCAAAATGTGAACAAGGCAAAGTAAAAAAAAGTAGAAAGAGGGTCTAATATCTCTCGGTTGGAAATGACACATACAATAATCGTACTGTATAGAAAGACGACACAAAGTCGCAGGGATGGGGTCAGCAAGTTGCATACAACAATCATAAGCAAACATCGCATCGTTGTTAAAGATGGCTAGGAGGTTGCTGTATGACAGGGGCAGAGAGTTTTGAGGCAGTGGGGTTGATTGTTTTGTTAATGTTGCAATGTGGCGAGGGGGTTAATGACTGAGGGTGCCCCCCTTGGACAACAGCCTGTGAGCAGTATTTAGCAAAAACAACGCAAGCTAGCCGAAGTTGCTGAAATGATTAATAAAGGTATTCTAGAATGATATAGGGTGCTGAAATGAAATTCCATGGTGTGGGGTGGAACTTTGCCTGACTGGAAAGTTTGGAAAATTCAATAGTATATCTAGAAAGCGTATAGAAATATCCGCTGATCTTCGTGATCAATCGTAAAAAATTCCAAATGTGAAAATATAAATGATTTTTCGATTGAACTAATAATCGTGGTCATACTAACAACTACCATCAACAACCGACAACAAGCAGCAAATTACTGACAACAAGCACACAATTTGATTTACCGACAACAAGCTGAAAAATACCGACAACAAGCAAATACATACTTTCATTGTATTCTTATAGTTATTTGTATGAATGCATGGCTGTATGAATAATTGTGTAAATAATTTATAGCTTAATAAGTTCTTTGTATGTTTGCATGGTGATAAAATATAATAGGTGATAAAATATAATGATAATAAATAATAATAATAATAATAATAAATATAATAATATGTTTGCATGGTGATAAAATATAATTTATAGCTTGTTTCTGTTTGTTACTATTAAACATTTTAGACACATTATACGCATACACACTTTATAGAAGTTGGTAGTTATATTATTATAGATAATAGGTTAGTTAATACTGATTTTCTACTTGAAATTTCGTTTCCTATCTATACTTTTATATGGTGTCTGCCTACGTGAATCCATCATCTTTAATAGCGGAATGTTTTAACTCAACAATGTTTGACAAAATCTGTCAAACTTATATATTTTGGGTTTCCTCAAAAACAACCAAATAACTATAAGAATACAATGAAAGTATGTATTTGCTTGTTGTCCGTATTTTTCAGCTTGTTGTCGGTAATTTTGTGCTTGTTGTTAGGGGTGCACCAGATTTCAAATCCGGCCGGATTTAACAAATTTTCCGCCCATCCAGCCGGATTTGGACAAAATCCGGCCGGATTTAAATTTCTGTTTTCACCTCAAAATATTCAAGAATGGGGTAAGCCATCAATTTGGCAGCTTTAAAGTTTAAAAAACACTTATATTATTATAAAATATTAAGTTATTAACAAAAATATATTTAAAAAAGGTTTAAACACAATCAAAAATCTAAACTGACACTAACTAAAAATAGTAAAAAACATAAACCGCCATTTGAATACTGAATTATCACAATTTATACCCAATTGGGACCATTACCGGTTTATCTCAAATCCGGCCGGAATTTTTGCCCAAATCCGGTTCCAGCCGGATTTGAAAATTCCAAATCAGGTGCACCCCTACTTGTTGTCGGTAATTGCGTGCTTGTTATCAGTAATTGTCGGTAATTAGTATGACCCAATAATCGTACTGAAGTATGGCACCTGATTCTTAGCCTGCTCACAGACGTTGTTATTCTTATGCCAAGCAACGAATTACTATCGTCTGCTTACCCGAGCTGCATATTCAATTCCCTTTGTTTTAGGAGCCAATCATCTGGCAGTGTTCAAAAGAGTTAGAGCCAATTGGAAGCGGCCTTATTGAGAGATTAGCTACTGGGGAAAGCCCTTGCACATGCATTGGAATATATTGTTTGCATTGAAACTTGAAATTTGTTACTTGTGTGTGGATATATTTTGGAAACTATAGCGTTGAACTTTACGATGTTTACGTAGAATATTGTGATCATCTTCTCGCATGTTGAGCAAACAATTGGTGTATATAAAGTGCTAGAGCAATGCAGTAGGCGAAATTTAAATTTTTGTTAACAATGTCAATGACAAACAATCAATCGGGAAACTCGAGTATATCAGGATATGTCCAAATGTTGCTCTTGAGACTTGAGACAGATAGGTTTTGAACCTTTCAAAGTTCGATATCGAATTGACAGTTGAAATAGTACCAAACTCCAAGCTGAAATGTGCAACTTTATCATGTATATTTTTGTCAATTTTGTTTACTGGCCTTTGTTAAATTCACTTGCAATGGCTCGACATAAGTTACAACATACAAACTGAGCAGAGCCCATGAAAAAGCTATCCATACCCCTACAGTCATTCAGCTTCCTTGCTATTTAGAAGTGCATGGTTGCCCATTAGTCGAAGAAGAATTACTATTGTATGCGCTTGTTTGCACTTCCTTTCCTAAAAAAAGTCTACAATATTAAGGCTAAATAGCAGAAAAATATGACCCAATAATCCATGCAATTAAAAATATCTATCAAATTAACTTCAAAAATCATGACCATATATCTATTCAGGCAACCCATAATTTAGTGACAGGTCTTGGCAAGGTGAAAGCTGAAAGGAACCCTTAAGATGGGTGTACTACAAAACTATATTGACTGAAGTTTTGGAAACATTTAACTAAATTTTGAAGGATTGACTTGCAAACTGTGATTCAGTATCCTGGAATTTTACACTTCTGGAGAAGTTGTGGCTCTGTTAGTGCCATTTCTTTCATTTTTTACTGTATATATCTTGCTTTTAAGCATTGCTCGCTTATAAAATCTTTCAATTCCTTAGGGCCTGTTTATATGATCCCACCTAGATGGGACGGGACGTTTTCATCCCGCCAAGACAGGATACTTGCCTAGTGTTTATATGGACAAAATACATTGCCGGGATGAAACCATTCGGTGCTTGACGTCATATTTTTGTTGCAATAAAGGCATTTACGCATGTCCAAAAGGGAAAAATTCATTCCGCCTAACCGGGATGAAGTGTTTATATGGGAATTTTTCATCCCGGCTACACACGTAAAAATCATCATGTTGATGCAAGTTGTTCAAAACAGGAGCGAACAATGTTGTGCTGCACCCTGTGAACAATATTGTTAACAAGTTGTTGAATAATCAACATTGTTGCAACTTGTTGACAATCATGTTAACAAGTTGCAACAGTACTGATGGTTGAACAACTTGTTAACAATATTGTTCACGGGGTGCAGCACAACATTGGTCGTTCCTGTTTTGAACAACACCGAACAACATGATCAATTTTTACCCGTGTAGGCGGGATAAAGTGTTTTTATATGGGAATTTTTCATCTCGCTTAGGCAGGATCCCGGCATCTGTTGCCGAAATCCAGTCTAGGCGGGATAAGTGGCAGGATCATATAAACACTCTTTAGCATTTGTATTACGAGCGGGATCTCGGTAAGCATCCCGTCCGCCTGGCCGGGATCATATAAACAGGCCCCTAATCTCATCCCATGATACTGAATCACAGTTTGTAAGGCCCCATTTACATGAGACCAGGATGAAACCAACCTGGAATGAAAATTGAAATTGCATGTCAACATGTTTACATGAGACCAGTATGAAAATCACAAAATTTTCAATTTATTCCCCTTGCCAGGCAATTTTCTTTTTTAGACGACTTTTGTTAGCATGTGTTGTTCACTTGTTCCAATGTCAACATTCATTCCAGTCTGAATTCATACTGGTCTGACTCAGTCGGCTTGGCCCAGCAGGCAGAATGACTTGAGACCTCATGTAAACATCTATTATATATAATCTAATGACCAACACGAAATGGTCCCGGTTAATCGACTTCGTTCCAGTCTCATGTGAACTGGACCTAATAAAATCCTTCAAAAGTTGGCTAAATTTTTCCAAAACTTCAGTCAATATAGTTTTGTAGTATCGGTACACCAATCCCAAGATCTGTCACTAAATTATGGGTTGATTGCCTGAATAGATATAATTCCCAAATCATGATTTTTGAAGTTAATTTGATAGATATTTTTAATTGCATGGATTATTGGGTCATATTTTTCTGCTATTTAGCCTTAATATTGTAGACTTTTTTCAGAAAAGGAAGTGCAAACAAGCGCATACAATAGCAATTCTTCTTCAACTAATGGGCAACAATTTCTAAATAGCAAGGAAGCGAATGACTGTGTGGACTATGGATAGCTCTTTCATGGGCTCTGCTCAGTTTGTATGTTGTAACTGATGTCGAGCCATTGCAAGTGAATTTAACAAAGCCAGCGAACAATATTGACAAAAATATACACGATTTAGTTGCACATTTCAGCTTGGAGTTTGGTACTATTTCAACTGTCAATTCGACCTCGAACTTTGAAAGGTTCAAAACCTATCTGTCTCATGTTTGCTCACTCTATAATTTTGTATACGCAAAGGTTTTCATCATAACTTAATAAAAAATTATAATTTAGGTTTTGGAAATCATTGGGTTTTTATCAGGAAGCAGTGCGCGCTAACACTCTCGGACAACATTTCGACGGCCATTTTTAACCACCAAATTAAACAGAGTATATAAATAAAATAACACCCGAAATGAAGTTTTTTCTTACTTAAATCTTATCTTTAAGTTTCTTATAATAGCTGAAAGTAACAAAAACATATAAATTTTACACAAGTAATATTTTATAAAGCAATAGTTTCAGCATACCTTCTGATGGGTCATATACGAAATGTAAAATATTGACATTCTCCCGCCGTAAAACTCCTTTTCTTTTCGAGTATTATCTGGGATCATCGGCATCATCCGAATGGCTTATTGCATTTTTAATCCACCACACCCCCCCTATGGAGGACATCCATTTTTTGGACCCCCTCCCCTGGAATTCCGCAGATGTTGATGAATTTCCGCCCTACCCCCTGGAATTCCGCGATTTTTTACAAATTTCCAGCCTACCCCATGGAATTTCCACAGATTTTTAACGAATTTCTACTCATCCCTTGGAAATTCCACCAATGGTTTTGACCTAGTCTCTGGAATTTCCACATTTTTTGTTTAATAGCTAACCATCCCTTGGAATTTCCATGTTGTTTTTTTAACCTACCCCGTGGAATTTCCACAGATTTTCTTTAAAATTTAGACCCTCCCTTGGAAATTCCGTCTTTTTTTGTTGAATTTTAGGAAGGGGGTGTGTGGTTTAAAAATGCAATAAGCCAATTGAAGCGTGTGAATGATGAAGTAGTGAAATGTATCTCATCGTAATATTAAATCCTAGAAAACTAAAGCCTCTGCGGAGGAGAGAGTGGACAACCATATCAACAAAATAAAAGTCAAGGCGAACAGGTTGCTGGGTTTGCTTAGAAGAACATGCCCCTTGTTAACAGATCGCAGTATCCGGCGCACTCTGTATCTTTCGCTCGTCAAGTCGCAATTATGCTATGCCACAGAGGTTTGGTCTCCCTCCCAAAATAATAACAAATTATATCTGGAGCAAGTCCAAAGGCGTGCAACAAGATGGATCCTTCAATCGAAGAAAGGTGACATAACCTACAAGGACATATTGCTGGCTCTGAATCTTTTACCACTGGTGTTTGACAGGGAAATTAAGGATCTGACATTTATGTTTAAAACTTTGCATGGTTTTTATGATTTGGATGTTTTCAATTTTGTGTCATTTGTTAATCATAGTCGTACCCGTAATTGTAATAATCCTTCTCTAGTGCTTAAAGTTCCGTCATGTAAAAGTAGCACTTTTCAGACATCGTTCTTTAACCGTATTGTTCCACTCTGGAATCATACTTGCAAAATTGCTTCTCCTAGAGATCTTCGCAGTTTGGCAACGTTTAAATCCTTCTTATCAAGAACATACTTCAATTTATTAAGTAGTAGTTTTGATGTGGACATGTGCTGTACGTGGTCTTTATATCGTAGCTGTTCATGCCATAGAAATAATTAATTCTGATGTAAACATATACCAGCTCCTCGTGTCAGGGTTTGTTTTATCCTGATTCAGTTTTCAAATTTTTAACATGATTATACAAATCTGTATTATGTATGATAACTTAAATGTGGTGCAATATCTTCCTAATTTGATTTATTAATCAGCTGGTATATGTTTACCAATTTATAAATTTTTTGTAAATAATGATATTAGATGTAAACAAAATTCAAGAGGGAGAGTGCCTCGCATGGGTCTTGAGTCCCGTTCGCACTCTTGCCGTTTGAACATCGTTCAATAAAGCTGTTAAAACAAACATAATACGAGTAGCCATATTTGTTTACAATTAGAACGTCTTACCCCCCGCAAAGCCCGCATCACGGATGGGTCCGCTCGATGTATGGCCGTTTCTACGCCCTCTCTCCCTTCGCCCTGGGCTATAGCCTTACTTTTTTGCTGTTTTTTGCCCATTTATGAAAAATGGAAAAAGTCGCTGAAAATGGAAGAAAAGTAAGGCTATATATAGCCTTACCTTTTCGTCCATTTTTAGTGACTTTTCCCATTTTTCATATATGGGAAAAAAAACAGCAAAAAAGTAAGGCTATAGCCAGGGCATTTTTTAAGAATTCGTCAGTGGGGGGGCCATCTACAAAAAGGGACCATACTATACCGAGTGTGGAGCAATGATAGATGGTTTGTTGGTAACAAAACGTTTGGTGTGGTATCGCATTTAATAGTAGGGGGGGAGAGCAGGGCCGTAGGAAGCTCTTTTCGTTTGGGGGGGCTGAAAGCGAGGGCCGAAGGCCCGAGGAAATTTTTAAATTTAGAGTCTCTGACATGCCATTTCCTGGACTTTGGGGAAGATTTGACAGATTTCTGATTGTCAGAAAACAGCGTTTTTAGTATGTGGAAATTTAGAATTCAGTAGTACTAAATGGGCGAAGGCTTATTTAATTAACAATATATTGGATAAGTTGCAGGAAAGTATGGTTAATATCTTCATTCTTTGCAGTTTGTCATGAATTAAATGATAAAGGAGAGCATGATTTTGAAAAATGAATGATTATTAGCAAATTATTGGGGGGCTGCAGCTCCCCAGCCCTCCCCCCCTGCGGTTGCTACGGCCCTGGAGAGGGTCTGAGGTTTTCTCTCCCAGAAAATTTTTGTATTTTTCTACCCCTATGACTGCAATTCCCTGCATTTTCTGAAACAGATTTTTGGATATACAGCATTACATTATGCTGTAGATAGACTGAACCTTCAGTTAATTAAGTACTTGCATAGTATGTTTATGTAGATACGACAACTTGGCCGTCACTTAGGGAGCCAGCTTGATAAACTTAGAGTTCCCGACTCCCACGAAGCGCCACCATGGTTGGCGCAGAGCGAAAATTTTTTGAAAATTTTGCATCTCTAAATCGTCGGAAATGGCATTTTCAAAGTCTTCTATACGTCTTTTGTTAGGCCCTTTCATTAATTCGTTCATTATGATTTGCAAGTCTATGATATCCGCGAGTCAGGATGGATTATTACGAGAAATGTTATAAAAATATCGATTACAGATATTTGATTATATGTATATATGATTTCAAATACTTCTAGTTTCGAAATCAAATTGGTTTTTTTTGGTGGGGGGGGGGGCCAAAATTATCCCCCCCCTTATAAAACACTTGGTTGAGGGCCTGTTGCCCCCTGCAGTCACTAACTTGTCCAACAACTCAAATCTATAGCCTATAGGGTCTGGGAAATGCAATCCACTGCCTGGGAAATGTTTAAAATCTAATAAGGTATTTATTAAACATAAAAGACAGGACATAAGATTCACAAAGCAAATTTCAGTTACTAGAATATCAAACCTCCCTTCTAATCTCCATGTTTTGCTTATATTTTAGAGAAAAGGGACTTTGACTGGGGGGGGCAAAATGGTTGAGTGGGGGGGGCCACCGTGGGGGCTGGGGGGGGGGGCTTTGCCCCCCCAGTTATATAGTTAAAAAATGCCCTGGCTATAGCCTTAACTTTTCGTCCATTTTTAGCGACTTTTTCCATTTTTCATAAATGGGCAAAAAACTAAGGCTAAATATAGCCAGAGCTTTTCGTTCATTTTTATCGACTTAGCCTTACTTTTTTGCTGTTTTTTCCCATATATGAAAAATGGAAAAAGTCGCTAAAAGTGAACGAAAAGTTAAGGCTTTATTTAGCCTTACTTTTTTCCTGTTTTTTTTTTCCCATTTATGAAAAATGGAGAAAGTCGCTGAAAATGGAAGAAAAGTTAAGGCTATAAAATGGACGAAAAGTTAAGGCTTTATTTAGCCTTACTTTTTTCCTGGGTTTTTTTCCCATTTATGAAAAATGGAGAAAGTCGCTGAAAATGGAAGAAAAGTTAAGGCTATAGCCTTACTTTTTTGCTGTTTTTTTTCCCATTTATGAAAAATGGAAAAAGTCGCCAAAAATGGAAGAAAAGTTAAGGCTATAGCCCTACTTTTTTGCTCTTTTTTGCCCATTTATGAAAAATGGAAAAAAGTCGCTAAAAATGGATGAAAAGTAAAGGCTGTAGCCTTACTTTTTTGCTGTTTTTTTGCCATTTATGAAAAATGGAAAAAGTCGCTGAAATTGGAAGAAAAGTTAAGGCGCCTTACTTTTTTGCTCTTTTTTGCCCATTTATGAAAAATGGAAAAAGTCGCTGAAAATGGACGAAAATTTAAGGCTGTAGCCTTACTTTTTTTGCTGTTTTTTGCCATTTATAAAAAATGGAAAAGTCGCTAAAAATGGACGAAAAGTTAAGGCTATAGCCAAAATATAGCTTCAAAATATACCATAAAACTAAATCTGACATTTAACCTTTTGTTAATTAAAGACGTTACTCTTTCAAAACAACATATTATGTACATAGTGTTTATTGGCAGTAAAGTACTTCCCTACCTGGCAACTGCCGGCAATTCGTTCGAGTCCAATCTCGTGGCGAACAAAGGTTGTTGCGTTATAAATGTTGCATCTTCCGTGTGTTGTTCAGGCAGAAAGCTCGATGATTTCTTACTTTCCTCTCGAATGCAAAGTTTTGATTCACTGCCTCCTTCGAGAGCGCGGATTGAACGTCTATAAAGAAAGCTTCATCAATTAATTTTGGCCAAGAAAATTGTCGAAAACCATTTCTTTAATCAAAACAGTTAGTTTCGACAGATAAAAAATGTTTTAAAAGACTTTGGTAAAATGGGGGGTGGGGGCACCACAGGCATACCAAGGCTGACCAAAGGGGCGAACCACAGGCATACCAAGGCTGACCAAAGGGGGGAACCACAGGCATACCGAGGCTGACCAAAGGGGAGACCACAGGCATACCGAGGCTGACCAAAGGAGGGACCACAGGCATACCGAGGCTGACCAAAGGGGGAAACACAGGCATACCGAGGCTGACCAAAGGGGGAAACACGGGCATACCGAGGCTGACCAAAGGGGAGACTACAGGCATACCGAGTCTGACCAAAGGGGGGGCCACAGGCATACCTAGGCTGACCAAAGGGGGACCACAGGCATACCGAAGCTGACCAAAGGGGGGACCACAGGCATACCTAGGCTGGCCAAAGGAGGGACCACAGGCATACCTAGGCTGACCAAAGGGGAGACCACAGGCATACCGAGGCTGACCAAAGGAGGGACCACAGGCATACCGAGGCTGACCAAAGGGGGAACCACAGGCATACCGAGGCTGACCAAAGGAAGGACCACAGGCATACCGAGTCTGACCAAAGGGGGGACCACAGGCATACCGAGGCTGACCAAAGGGGG